CAATAAGCCTGAGTGGTCTGTTGACTGACCTTTGTATTTGTTCAAATAATTGTTCTGGGCAGGTTATAATATAAAAATGTTTGTTATAATCAGGTCTTGTGATTATTTGACAGGAGTTTTACTTTTAAAATGTAAGTGTATTTAATTTAGTTATAATGTAAATACAATAAAAATTAAACCAAGAGTTATAATAATTATCATTTTGATCCATACATTGGTAATGTCTGACTCGTGTCACTTTATGTTCTTAACTGGGCCCCGAGGTCAAAAAGGTTAAGATCCCTGATTTATACAACACTGCTCAAGCGTAAAAAATGTTTCTCTCTTATGTTTGGACATTTTATATGAAAACGGAAGTGTGAAGCGGCTCTTTTTTTATCCAGCTTGACATCCGTGCGCGTGCTGCGTTACTCCTACGTAATTTCCGGTGAGTGGGGCCTTTTTTGTTTTCTCGTATCCGCCATTTCAGTTTTTGAAGTTAGTTGTCATCGGCGGCTGGTTTGTGGCTGGAATTCTGCCTCTGAATCCAGTTATATGTCCGGCAGAGCTAAAGTCTGGCCTCAGACCGAGCGGGAGCCGCTTTTTATCCGCGGGTTTAGTTTGTGTGCGGGTGAATTGATGCGCATTCAGCCAGCTGCGGATGTCGCCCGCCTGCTGAACGTGCTCCAGACGCTAAAGTTTTTTGTATGAGTTGAAGGCTCCGCTGGTGGAGAACGGGAGGGAGAGCAGGGAAGGCCCGGTGAAGCCTCGGCTTTGGAGTGATTATCATGGCCGGAAATTTTGACGCGGAGGACCGTGGGAGTTGGTACTGGGGTCGCCTGAGCAGGCAGGAGGCTGTGTCTCTGTTGCAGGGGCAGCGGCACGGCGTGTTTCTGGTCCGGGACTCCATCACCAGCCCCGGGGACTACGTGCTGTCGGTGTCAGAAAACTCTAAAGTGTCGCATTACATAATTAACAGCATCAGCAACAACCGACAGTCCGGCCCAGGTAAGACACGAAGGGGGCGTGGAGGGGCTCCATACATACTGCTGCTGCTAATGAGACCATTCCTGCATGACTTGATGCCCAGCACTGACTCCTTTACTCCACAGTTCAGAGAAAATCAGTATTTATTATAATGTATTTGTTTCCAGAGGTAGCTCACACTGTTTTATAACACCCATTGTTTCCATTAATGATGAATAACAACTCTACCTTTGTCCAAAACCTCCATTAAAACGAATCAAAGGTTTTCATGATAAATATTGGCAGGTTTTAACCAGGCCAGGTTTATAGCCTTTATATTTAAGAGACACTTTTACTGTCTTGAACTTAATGGTGTATATATAAAGGGAAAAAAACAACTTTACCTAAAATAATAAGATTAAAACATGTCTGCTTAATATTGTTTTTTTAAAGTGCCTGTGACGTCAGATTTTTGTAATACATTTGAATGCATTTTTAGAAAGAAGACATTGATAAAATATTGCAGAATAAATTTCATGTCGCTGAGATGAACAGTTGTTGAGATATTTGCCTGTGAAGTRAYAGRAAGYGATGTCAAAGGGGAATGTCTGCATGTGAACAGAGCGTTGTTACAACTCAAACTGTGGAGAATAATCTGATGTTTCTTTACATTATTTTGAGTCACTATCAGAGAGATGAAGAAGAGTCAAAGTTCAAACAATGTTTTAATTAGAGATGTGACGTTTGCGAACGATGCAAGTCTTTTGAACGGCTCTTTACAACGAACAATAGGAGCCGGATCGCGGGCAGTAATGAGCCATTTGTAGTTTTATTTCTTTTATTCCTCATATAATCTTTATTTTTTCATACTTAAATCGCTCCCGCTATGCTTTTTCACGGACAACAGGCGGAGTTGTGGAGAACAGAAGCTCACGCTGAGAGGGGAAGTGGGGTTTCCACTTGACAGAAACATGGTTTCACCCAAGTGACGGGATGACGGGATGACGGGATGACGTCATTACGCATGGCTACGTGATGATGTATTTCCCTACGTGATGATGTAATACGTTCAAAATCGAATGGCTCTTTTGAACCATGGCGTTGGAACGTTGGAATAATACACACGATTTAACCCATTTTAACCCATAACAGGGCCGAACAGGAATGATCCCAGTACCATACATAGAGAAGTATCGGCCGGCGTCTCCAAACTCGGTGGTGGGCCCCGGCGGGCCTGGAGGACCGCCAGGTGGGATGGTGGTGCATGGGAACTCTGACGGCTCCGCTGCTCAGTCCGGTGCCCCACTGTTGGGAGACCCTGGCCAGTATGCCCAGCCCACCCCTCTCCCAAATCTCCAAAATGGACCCGTCTATGCCAGAGCAATGAAACAAATGGCTTCCTAAGATCCGGATCCCTTCAAAGAGCCAGTTTCAATGCTCTAGTTTCAAAAAAACAAAGACCAGAGAGTTTTCTTTGTTAAAGAGTTCTCCTCTGATGTCACTTCCTGTTTCACTTTGGCTGAGCCAAATTCAAAAGAAAGTGTGCCAGTTAAGGGACAAAATGGGGTAAAACGTGTGTATTATTCCAACTTTCTAAAATATAAATATGTTCTCTTTGACTTCTTACATTTGAAGAATATGCATATCACAGGCACTTTAAAGAAAAAAGTTAAGTTACAATGTAAAAGTGTTTCATTTTTGTAGTTTAAACAAAAAACAACTATTTTTTAAAATATTTACTCTAACTTATTTACTTCAACTATTTATTTTAAATAAACTTTTAGATTTTTTTTTAGCCTTAGGTTAATCTGGTGCAATGCATCAAATGATGTTTTAATTGCACACTATCCCGAATAAATAAATCATTCTTTCATTTTCCCACAATATTTTAAATATATATTATGATTCGATAATCTTTATGTACAAAACTTTAATATCTGATTTCATTTACAGCCATTTGTTTTACATATGTTGAAAAATGTGATTTGTCTAGAACATTTATAAACAAAGTAGATAAGAAGCTAACAAATTCAGCTGAACAGTTTTAGTAAAAGCCTGTCTGGCACTAAAAAAACTGATAGGTTGCCCTTGAAAAGCCTACAAAAGTTCACAGGCAGCCAGATTTGTATTTCATTAGTAGTCCTGCAGAATTATTAGTATCAATTTGCATGAATAGTTTCATGCAGATATTGTAAAACATTGGATAACTTGAAACAAATTGTAATTTGAATTGCCACGTTGCATGAGGCTCCAGAGCAGCAGGTTTACTGTAGTATTTCTTCAAATCTTCTCCAGTCTTGAGCATTTCATTTCAAGGAAAACGTGAAATGAGGAAACAGAAAAGCTTCCTGCTCATTCTGGAAATCACCCCGATCATACCTGATTAAAATAGCCTGAGCTCACATTGTTACAGATCTGCTCATGTTTAGCTGTTGTAGGGGTCACCTCGAGTGACCCCTACAACAACTACTGTGTTGAGTGTTGAAACAAGATCATATTGTTTTTTTCTCCCTCTCGTTTGGACCAGGTTTGGCTCATCCAAGGTTCCGTATTGGTGATCAGGAGTTTGATGCTCTTCCTGCTCTGCTTGAGTTCTATAAAATCCACTACTTGGATACCACCACCTTGATAGAACCCATCAACAAGTCCAAACACCCCTCCTTGATGAGCGCTGGTTCCAACGTAGGCCCCCCGCCACGGTTAGAGGACGAGTACGTCCGAGCGCTTTTCGATTTCCCTGGCAACGATGAGGAGGATCTTCCGTTTAGAAAGGGGGATATTCTCAGAGTTCTGGAGAAGCCAGAGGAGCAGTGGTGGAATGCCCAGAACTCTGAGGGCCGAACAGGAATGATCCCAGTACCATACATAGAGAAGTATCGGCCGGCGTCTCCAAACTCGGTGGTGGGCCCCGGCGGGCCTGGAGGACCG